TTCTTTAATGTGTATCATTTCTGATATCGCTCTTTTTTGAAATTTGCATTCCGTGTCAAGGATTTCTATGTTGTCCCATTCAAAGGAGTGATTAAAAACCTTGATGTGCTCCGTGATAACGGAATGTCTCGACGGATCTCCTCTTATGTTACTCCTATGTTCCTTGATTCTGGTCTTGAGCTGCCTTTTGGTCTGACCCACATACGAGGCGTCGCAGTCTTTACAATTGATTTTATATACTACATTATTTTTTGCTGGAAGAGACGTTAAAAGATGAACATACCTACACCCGCCTAATTAAAAATCCGTCAACGACCTTGGAAAAAGATACTAATTCCTTACTTAAGGGTTGGCTAAAAAAGAAGCATATTAGCAAAGAAACATATCTTGCATTACATTGTAGTGATACATCTTTACCAAAGGCTTACGGCCTCCCTAAAATCCACAAAAAAGATGTTCCGCTCAGAATCATTGTTTCCTCTGTAAATTCTGCCGTTAATCCGTTAGCCACGTTTCTACATGAAATCATTTCCAAAAGCACTACTCCCACCAACAGCCATGTTACCAATAGCTTTGATCTGTACAAAACACTCACGGGGAAAGAAATTGGGGAATCAGATAATTTGATCTCCTTAGATGTAATTTCGCTTTTCACAAATGTTCCGGTCGATTTGGCATTAGACGGAATCAGCAGTAGGTGGAATGAGATTGAAAAGAACACAACGATTCCATTTGAAGAATTCATGTCCGCGATTAAGTTTGTTTTGACTTCTACTTTTTTTACCTTTAATGACGTCATATACAAGCAAACTTATGGTACCCCTACGGGCTCATCTTCATCACCGGTGATTGCTGAATTGGTTATGCGAGATCTTGAAAATAAAGCGCTAGGTGCGATCAATTTGGAATTACCATTCTACTATCGTTATGTAGATGACATTATTTTAGCGGCACCTTCTACCTGTATAAGCAAAATTCTCGATGTATTCAATAGTTTGCATCCGCGCCTTCAATTTACGGTTGAATATGAAAATAACCGTTCTTTGAGTTTTTTGGACCTTTTGCTGAGGGTCGTGGACAACAGAGTGGTCGTCGATTGGTATCATAAAAGCACATTTTCAGGCAGATATCTTTCCTTCTTCTCGAACCACCCTATGTGTCACAAAATCGGCACAATATACGGACTGGTAGATAGAGCCATCATGTTGTCCCACCCATCCTATCAGCAGAAGAACTTAGAGTTTTGTGTCGGGCTTCTTCTCGACAATGGCTATCCGTTGGAGCTAATTTTCAAAACTATAAACAGTCGGTTGAAGAATATCGAGAGAAGTCTGACACATGATGCGGATTGCGGGACTAACAGTAATTCTACACCCCAAGATCGCGAAAATAAGTTTGCCGTAATACCATTCATACGAGGCGTCTCAGAAAGAGTTGCGCCTCTTATTAGACGCACATCACATACAGTGGGTTTCCGCTGTTTAAACAATCTCAACCCCATCAGAGCACATAAAGATAAAACGGAATTTTTTGCGAAAAATAATGTAGTATATAAAATCAATTGTAAAGACTGCGACGCCTCGTATGTGGGTCAGACCAAAAGGCAGCTCAAGACCAGAATCAAGGAACATA